TTTTTTAAAATTTAAAAAAATTTAATTATAGCTAAAATTTACATGAAGCATTTGGGATATTGATTTCAATGATAATTTGAATGCAATAAAAAGAATTTGCAAAGCAGATCGATCTTGTGGAAAATACGACAATTTCCTATCCGAAGCATCTTTTGAAAAGTGTGAAAAGTATTTGATGAATGAAAAGAATGCTCACAAGAGAAAAGACCTGAAGTAGCTCTTTATATATTGCGCATATTTCAGGCTCATTCTATCTTTACTTCAGTAAATAATTGCAAACATTGTGGCAAAGTAAGAATTTGACAATTTTATATAATATGTCGAAAATTCCAAAATTCACAACAAAATTTGGCAAATTTTCTTTGCTAATTTATATTATCCATTGCTCAATTGTTTAATTCATTATTAATAATAAGTCGGAAATCTTTATTTTTAATCATTACCTTCCTTTCACCTTTTTTCTTTTTTTTTTGTGGCTTAATTAATTGACTGATTTTAGTTTCAGACGCATTACGAACATTTTAAATTATTTTTTTTTATTTTCCTTTTATTCCTCCTCATATTTCTTTTTTCATTATTAGAAAAATGCAAAACAAATGAAAGAAATGCCCAAACGAAGGATGTTTGGCCAATTTCATCCCAAAGCCAATCCAATCTAACCCATAAATTTTGCTTATAATCAATAAAAACTAATGGCAGATTAGAATTGGAAGTAATGCATCCTTTGAAGTTCTTTACGAGGTGCTATCATATTGCAAGCAATGTGTGTTTCATTTACTTTTTCATTTTTACATCTGAAGAATTTAAATTCTTCCACATCATTTAATTTGCTATTGGACTGAAATTTAAATTTTTCACATATTCCAAAAAGAAAAATATGGGAGAAAAATTTCAATTTTTTCACAGTTAATTTTATCAAATAATATTTTGTCAAAGTGCACAAATTAAATAATGCAAACTTAACAGGTTTATATTAAAATTTGATGATACATTTATGATAATGTGTAAATTTGCAATGACTTTTGAAAAAGTTAATAATTCGTCACCAGAGACATTACCTAAAGTTAATTTTGAGCTCAATTTTTTACAAATGATAAAGGATTTATGACCCTAATGTTAATCTTTTATTGTCAGGAAATTGCAATGTATAAATTTTGTTTCTCTTTTTTTTGGAATAATCGAAGTTGACAAATGAATAGTCTTTTAATTGATAATTCCAAATTTCATTCATTTGAAAAAATGCTACAACGAATGTATACTAAAAGCTATTTTTTCATAGACTTTTTGATAATTCATCTATGTGTGATTTCATTATTTAAGGCTTTTAAGCCTAGCCTAAGCAGGATATGAATTTTATGTTTATGTCAATTTCGAAATTTTGGATCTCAGCACTAAAGAAAAGGAAGAAAAAACTCCAATCGTTAAACATCGCAAGAAAAAAGCTGAAATGTAATTTTTTAAATTTCAAAAGCATAAAATGGATAATTCTGAAATACTACACAGTCAATATCTCAAAGTTGAATCCAACTAGTACGATCGAAACTTTTTGTTGCTTATAGCATGTTTATCTTAGTCTTAAGTACATTACAGGCAATCTATTTTAATTTCACAAAAGCAAGTTTTATCAAATTTCCAGAGAATCTGTGTAAAGTAAGAAAATAACAGATAATGTGATTTTTTATTTTATCCTTTTCCAAAGAATGAAATGATTGCATTTTCTTGATTGATTTTTTCACTTTTTAATTTTTTCGAAGTTTTTTAAACTATTCAAAGATCGATTAGAAATGGTTGTTCTCGTAATTTAAACATTTGAAATTGTTGCTAATTTTAGCAATAAGTAAATTCATCAAATTTTTGGATCAAAAGTTTCGTCATTGTTCCTTTCAAATTTATCAGCCTCTTCAACTTTTTTTTCTGTGTTTTAATTACTAAACCTTAATTTGTCGATTTTTGGTCGAGAATCCCTTCTATCACCAAA